GAGGGGTTCATACAGACACACTGACTGACTGGACACTCCAGTACATTAACACTGCACTGAGAGAGAGGGGTTCATACAGACACACTGACTGACTGAGAGGGTGATAGGGTGAGGGAGTGAGAGGATGAGGGAGGGAGTGGGGGAGTGAGGGAGTGAGAGGATGAAGGAGTGAGGGAGTACAGTGGTCGTCTCACCGCTGCCTTGCCGACTCCATAGGGGACGTTGGAGCAGTACTGCAGCCCCCCAGTGGAGGAGATCACCACCAGCAACCCCCGGCCCGCCTGCACCATGAGCCGCGCAGCATACACACTGCAGATATAGTGACCCCTGCAGGGGACAGCCAGAACTGCGCTCAGACATCTGCATCGGGGCTCTCGAACCTGGTCCTGCAGGTCCGGGGCCTCTCAGTAGGTTGACTCTATTTTACATATGGCTGACTGAGACACACTGAGAGACTCACTGACTGAGACACAGCAGGAGACACACTGAGAGACTCACTGACTGAGACACAGCAGGAGAGACACAGCAGGAGAGACACACTGAGAGACTCACTGAGAGACTCACTGAGAGACTCACTGACTGAGACACAGCAGGAGACACACTGAGAGACTCACTGACTGAGACACAGCAGGAGAGACACAGCAGGAGAGACTCACTGACTGAGACACAGCAGGAGAGACACACTGAGAGACTCACTGAGAGACTCACTGAGAGACTCACTGAGAGACTCACTGAGAGACTCACTGACTGAGACACAGCAGGAGAGACACACTGAGAGACTCACTGACTGAGACACAGCAGGAGAGACACACTGAGAGACTCACTGACTGAGACACAGCAGGAGAGACACAGCAGGAGAGACTCACTGACTGAGACACAGCAGGAGAGACACTGAGAGACTCACTGACTGAGACACAGCAGGAGAGACTCACTGACCGAGACACAGCAGGAGAGACACACTGACTGAGAAACAGCAGGAGAGACACACTGAGAGACTCACTGACTGAGACACAGCATTAGAGACACACTGAGACACAGCAGGAGAGACTCACTGACTGAGACACAGCATTAGAGACACACTGAGTGAGAAACAGCACGTACTGCTCCCTCACTGAGACAGAAATTATAATGGATATTCTATGGTAGGATTTGTACCTTAGTCCAGCATTGTTCATAGAGTCCCAGACTGAGGGGTCCATCTCCCAGAATTTTTTCTCTGAGTAGTCAAAAATGGCCTGGAAAGACAAACATGATCCTCACCATTCTGAGATACCTCCCACCCTTTTGTGTATGACTCTCC